GACTTATAACACTAAAAACTGGATTTTGATACCCATAGTGGGAACAACACAGATAGCCCATTCTGTAACATTGTGTTTAACTACAAACAAACATTAAATATTCTGTTTTTAGCTATGTAATAGATGTAGACCACTATAACTACTAAAAGTTTACTGATAGTTTTTACGTTTCTTGAAGAATTAATATCAATAAAGAGCCTTTGCTTTTAAAATTTTTAAATTGTTGATAACCAAATGTTGATCAGTAACTCAATAACTATATATGTCTTTTTTTAATTAACTGATGGTTTTATGTCAGTTACCTTGTACAAATGTCACCTGTTGGGAAGTCATGGAGGACAAGCAGACTGTTCCCTATGTCTGACCAGAGATCCAAAATACCAATGCTCTTGGTGTGGGAGCCAGTGCAGTTACAGTGACTCTTGTCTTGAGACACCAGCACTGACGTGCCCACCACCTCGTATAGATTGGGTTAGTTCCTTGGTTTTTAAATTGATTATCTTTTGAAGATAGTAATATTAGTAACACAAGTTTTGTACTTTAGAAATAATGTCCCTTCATTTTATGTATCGGTTAACTTTAATTGAACCAAAAACAATAATGTGTTTGTGTAAGCCAAAGCTGTTGGGAAGTTTGATTTAACAGAAGCATTTTTTGTGTAAAATAATATCTTAATTAGTCAAATGATAGTACAACTGTAAATTGAGAGTTAATGAGAAGGTTTCTATAAAATTAATGATATTGAACCAATCTCAATTTCGGAAGTATAAAACATGTATACTGAATTAATGGAATGTAACTCAAATCATATGAAACCAGTTTTTTTTGTTTTGAATAACTTTAGTTTGCACTTACCTGTTATTCAGATGTGTTTTTTATTTTTCGAACATTCCTTGATGTGCTTCTTCATCTTTTTATTCAATCTGCATGAGGAGAATGTACATTTTGTGAATTAAACCAGAGAGCTGTTAGATTATTAATTTTTTGCTCTGAAAATAACTTTTCATGCACTAGATCCACCCACTAAGTGGGCCTATCCAAGGGGGAACTTTAATGGCTATAGAAGGGAGTAACCTTGGAACTAGTGAAGAAGAAATCAGCAACAAGATAACTATTGGAGGGATTCCTTGCATTCCCATTGAATACAGTGTATCAGTAAGGTAACAAAGAATCTACGGAAAAAAGAAAGCATCTGAGATTTAAGATTTCTATATATGAATTTTATTTAATATTTATTTGTATTTTGCTCTTTAGTCTGACACGACATGAGAGTAGATCAGTAATTTATATACTAAAAAGTCATCAGTGTCAACCTTTATTCTGTTCGACTCTTGAAAAAACACAAAATGTCTAAAACTTGTATGCACACACGGAGACTCTCAAGCCTATGTTGGTTCTCAAGCCTATGATATTAAATAGTTTTTTCACCTACTAATGTCTTTAGCCACTTTCATGAAAGTTAAAGCTATAAAGAACACACCATTGTTATTGTGAAGTATTTCAGAACTTGTCTCATAAACAGAAACAGCTGAAGAAATAATGGATGACTAATTTTTCACATTACTACAAATTTAAAAACCTTAAATAATGATACATCCTTTAATCATAAAGATTTAAAGCAACTTACTTATAGAAAATATGCATGCTTCTAATAACAGTACATCAGTTGTTCATTATTATACACGTAAAAGTCAAATGTAAATGGAGCATAATATAAAACTTTGAAAATATTTAACAACTTGAGCAAAATGGAGTACATTTTAGCAACTTTGTTTAGTATTTTGTTGATGTTTTCTACTTAAATATACGTTGTTTATGGTAAATTATTTTAAAATATTTTTATAATGGTTATCTATAAATAAATTTGTTACAAAATTATTTATTTTGCTTGGTCATTGTACATATAATTATCAATTTCAGATCTTTAAAGCTAATTATATCATTGATATATATATATTAAAATTATTCAAAATTTAAAACATTTCAAGAAATCAATATTTTGAAAAATGAAGACGCATCTTAATAACACATACAGTAGCTTGTTCATTGAAATACTGATAAATTGTTTTCACACTTCATGATTAAAAGTAGTAAAACTGTGAAAAATGATAAAAACTATTGATGTTTTTACTCTTTCATAAATAAAAATTGTATTGTCAGATAAATGAATTGATCAACTGACACATCTAAGACACAATATTGTTCAAAATATTTTTTTTATATCTAGAAAAATTGTGAAAGCTTGTATTTTACACTGATTTTTATACATGTATGAATACTAAAATATAGTTTTGTTTATCAACATAAAACTACTTAAAGAAGATAATCTTAATGTGTTTCATTGTATAGAGTCGTGTGTCGTACGGGTCCTAGTGAAACACCCAGAGCAGCTGAAGTTGTGGTTGGAAACAATGCAGGTGTGACCAGGGCTCGAGAAAATTTTTTATACAAGGTATGGACCGAAATTAAAATTTAGGAATTGTTATGCAGAAATTGTAATACTAAATTTTGTTTCAACTACAAGTGGATATGAATTTAGGACTTATAACACAGCAAACAAACTCTGTACAACCTAAACTAAAGGGTTAACAATGACACTTTTTTAGTATCTCACATTACCACATCTTTCATCTCAGTAAAAATGTTATAATAAAAAAGTTGACAAAATCTCAAAATTCAATTAAGCAAAATGATATATTTTGCTGTTTTAAATGTGTATTCTATGCAATTTAGTTTATGAATTGCCAATTTAAGTTTTTGTAAGAAACATTGATGTACATGTCATAGCTGAAATAGCTACTAATTTCACTCTTCTATAATTATTATACATTATATATATATCTGTATTCAGATAATTCTAAATTTTTGTGCAGATGTTCTTCATGTAATGATATCCTCGCTGATCAGATGTCAAAAATGTGCTAATTCTTTTAAGCATGTAAAGGTTGCCTAGTGCAAATTAAAGTAGCATGTATGTGCATCTGTATGGAACTTATAGAAGGTAGACAATTCCAGCAGGTGATATGATAACTTGTACAAAGGTGGCATGGGATGGTTTGTAGACTATTGGTTGAAGTAAGTAACCTAATAATTTCTGGAATACTGCACTAAGGCTTTTGCTTGACTATAAAAGTAGACACAGATCAGGATCTGTTGCCTCTCATGTGTTATGTCTTGGAAATGACTCCTTGTTGCTCCAGCAGCTAGTAGAAGTCACATGAGAAAGTCGTAAGTTGGTCATTTGGTACACTACATATACTATACATGTGTATATATATATATGTTAATTAGTTGTTCACTTGTATTAGTTTTTCTTACTCTCCATTTTTGATTTATTTTGTGCATAATATTACCTGAACCTGCATTTTGTAGACACTATAGACTAATTAGTTGGATGTAATTGTAATACCACATACAGAGAAAAATGTTTTTACAAGAAGAATTTTGAACCATTTAGGTAGTCACCTTGAAAAGTGTTCACCCCACTATTGGACCTAAGGCAGGAGGAACTAGACTATATCTGAGTGGAGAAAATCTGAATGTTGGAAGTCAGATGAATATTTATTTGGACAACTTGCCATGCATAGTTGATAGGTAAGAATGTGGAATGAATTGCTTTATTTTTAATGTAGTTAGGATAATGATAACTTGTATACGAGAACACTCTGTAGCTACGATCCAATAAATAATTTCTAAAAATCTAAGATAACAAGAAGCCTTTTCATATTTGGATATTTGTAATATTGACTAAAACATCGTAAACATTTCACACTTCATAATATTACAAGTAAGAGAAATTTCAAAAGCATTAACTCTTTTTGTTAACACAAGTTTTTGTTCTGTTGTATAGTTTGTTTGTTATTAGGCACAAAGATACAAAAAGGGCTATCTGTGCTCTGCCCACCATAGGTATCAAAACACGGTTTCTAGAAGTACAAGCCCACAGACATACCACTGTGCCACTGGGAGGCTGCTGTATAGTAGTGAAACGTTTAGTTATGTTTAAGAGAAACATTTTATGTCAGAATTTTGTAGTTTTTACTTACATCTTATCTAAGATGCATACAGTACAATAATTTTACATGTATTAGTTCCAAAATGCAAGGAGGATGGTTGAACAAACTATAAATTCTTTTTAAGGACACAAAAGTTTTACTTACTAGTTCTTAAACAGCCATAATATGTTTAAAATTCTACTATCATTTGAGAGAAGTTTGTTTTTCCTCTAACTCCTTCTAGGCTTTTGCATTTGGACCTGTCAAATATGGTTTAATCAACTAAGAATGATTCGTGATGTGTCGAGAAGTTATTTTTCTTTTAACACGTGTCGTGTTGTATGAGCCAAGAGGGTCTTTTTACTATGGGTTTGTTAGTTACCAAACATTTTCCAATGTGGAACCTGTTAAAAAACCTGTTTTTAGACATATCTTGAACCAAGAAATTCTCACAACTTTTTTTATTTTACAAAAGTTGAATAAATATTTTAAACGTTATGTGCTTTGTATCCAAATGGATGTGCATAGTAAAGCACATAGGCATGGCAATACAATTACTATTACTATGGTAGCTGTTTGACTCTTCTTCTTTTCCTGTGACCACATTCAAGAAACTAATGACTTCTGTTGGGAAATCATTATTGTAAATGTTGTCTTTATGCTGCACCTTGAGTTCTCAGAATGCATTTTTAGGTGTAATGGTGTAGTTCAGTTCAGACACAATGAACATCAATGTGTCTCTGTAAGGTTGCTGTATTACCCTAGAAGAAGTAATGTCAAGAGTACCATGTTTTTGTACTTCACTGTCAGGGCTGTAATACATTGACAAATCTCCGTGTTGGATGATATATTGAATTAATCAGGATATGTAGATAGCATATTTTCAAGCATTTTTCTGGGGCCCATTTTATTCCACTGATTCTCAAGGCTTTTTTGAACATGTCAAATCAGTCATATATTTTGAACCAAACCATGTACTCTTGGCCATAAATTTTACCATGTGGTGGACATAATGGCCAACCAAGAGTAAATTCCTCCACAAAGTAGCTGGAATTCTTGAATTACTAGAGAATTCATTGGCTGCTTCCCACCATGCTTTTGATATATTTTTACTGCAGGGGATAGTCCATCACATGAACAACCACAATGGCTGCATTTGAAGCATATTCCACAATTCAGAAACTTGCATTTGCATGCTAAACACTCCATGAGAGTTCCATACCACATTTTTCTTGACCTGGCTATCTACAGAATTGTTGATTAAAGGTAGTGCCAAATGGCCACGTTTCAGCCAAGGAGAATTATCACAAAGTTATAGCAAAAATAAAAAATAAAAGCATAATGGGTTAGTATTTCTTGATCAACAACAAAGACCCACCACCTTGGCTCATAAGACGCATGTTAAAATAAGTAGATTTCATAGCTCTCTAGTGATGGCTAAATATAAATCAACTAGTTGAATGGCCACTAGGGGTACTAATGGGAAATTCCAGTTTTCTATTTCACTAACTGGGGAACACATACAGTCTATATACTTTCAATCCTTACTAGCATATTTAGGACAAAAACAGAAACACTATTTATATTTGTAACTGATAAAACATTAGTTCTACAACTACCATAAAAATCAGTAAATAAATCATATAAATGATTTGTTAACTTTTATAAGACCTCTCACCCTGCATTACATGGGTACATCTGCTAGTGTTTGAAATAAAAAGTTAAGTTGTGGTAATATTTAACAAAATAATAACTGTGTTAAGATAAGTCATTTTATTTACTGCAGTAGTTTTTAACACTCAATATCTATTTTTTTATATATTTATAATTTATTAAAGAGAATTAACTATAAATGATAATTTTGTTTTGTTCTGATAGAACATTAGCCAGTAATAGCCAGGTAAGCTGTCGTACCACAAGAGCTCCCTCCCCACGCTACAGTGTCTCAGCATTGTTTCTTATGATTGACAATGCTACCCTCACCTTATCAACTCCATTTATCTATACGTTTAATCCAACAATACTAAGAATCTATCCACTGAAGAGTTTTGTCAGGTAAATAAACTTGCTTTAATAGTTCTACATCATAAGTTGTGTTTTACATTTTAAACTTGTGTTTGTAAATAACAAGCATATCATTATTTTTTGTTTTGTCTTTTGATTTAATGCTGAATATTTGGTTTTCAAATTCCAATAAAGATATATCTTTCTAACTTTAATTTCATTTTAGCTCATCAGCATCTGATAAGTTTGAAATCTTAAGATTTCATTGTGCATGAAAGAAACTGTTTTAGAAAGAACATAAGATTTTTCTTCCCACCAAGATTGTAGTTCAAAAGAAAGAGAGATGTTTAAAAAAAATTACCTTGTGCTACATGATGAACTGAAACATCATTGTTTTTTATTTCTCATTTTTAATTTCTTCAAATAATTATTTATAACTTATGGAGTTGTCAGGATATATCTATTTGAAATAATAGCCTTATTACTTTTTAAACACAATATTGGTAATGATTTAAGTTTTCAAATACACCAAATATATACACCATGCATAATGGTGACTTGTTTTTTTTTGTTCAGATAAAAAAATGATAAATTAAAACTTTCTTTCTTAGTGATAGTTTTTATGTTTCTGTATTGTTAATTAACATAAAAATAAACATTGTAGTGGAGGAAGAAGTGTCACAGTAGTGGGGACGTCTTTTCAGTCTGTCCAACAACCTCGTATGGCTATTTTTGACAATGAGACTCTTCTTAACGAAACAGTGAGTATTGGCTAAATTAAAAAAATGTTACTACAATAGAATATTTTCACTTTGTTTTGTAAATCAACTATCAAATTGTTAGAAATTCATAATTATTGTTTGGTTACCTGTGTAACATTCCTTTCCTCACTGAATGAATAAATGTCCAGACCTCCAAGAATTCAATGAAGGACAACAATTTTCTTTTCAAAAATCAAACTTTATTCACACAAGAATCAAAGTGTAAGTTTGTGTATTACATTATATTATGTAGCTATTAATTGTCTAGTTGGTAAATTAGATTTTATTGAGGTTTGTATTGTGTTTTTTAAATAATCCAGAAGTGTTTAGCAAAGACTTAAGAATGTGAAATAACCAAGAAGAAATAAAATTCATTCCAAACACTTTCATGAACACTTATTTGCAAGTTGCAGGACCAAAGCACTTACACTAGAAGAAGCTTTATGATTCCACTTTAAGAATGGTGTCCTAGTGCAAATTCTAACTTGAAGAGTTAGATAACTAGTTCTGTTTTTGTTTTTTTTGGGCTTAAAAAAAAAGCTAGCTAACAAAACTTTTAATTAAAGAAATACAAATTTAATCATTAATTGAAAGCAGTAAAACCATCACAAGCTTACTCAATCAGCTTAAGGAAGACAAACCTGTTCTTACCAAGAGATGGGTTCAAAGTTTGTTAAGATTTTCAAACCTAATTTAGCTTGGCATTAAGAGTTTGGTTTTTGCTGTCATTACACTCTTCATGACCAAACAAGCTAAAGAGCAAAAGTAAAACCTATCTAGAAATTCCATATTAATCAGTAGTTTCTTGAATTGAATATTGCATAAATTGAGTACAAAACCACATGTGATACATTTTTAAACATCCCAAGAATGATAATACAATGTTTATTTAAAAACTAGTTTAACATTGGAGAACACTACACAAATATCTATTCCAGTAGTACATGCTAGTGGTTATTCTTAGAAATACATTGTACCAATGTATGTTTAGAAAACGTTAATTCTACAATATTTTGACAGTTAACTTTCAAAATAGGTATAATGATGTGTTGACTACAACTTGGCAATAATGTTACATACATTAAATAAGACCATTTATCTATAATTACATTAAAGATAAGATTTAATTATTACACGTTATACTTTAAACAGTCAGTATGTACATACCATTTAATTAGCTATCTAAATCTAGTATCTTCTTAATTAAGAGAACAGCTAATCATTTAGACTGCTAACTACATACAAGTTTCTAAATCAAATGAACAACAAGGCTTTTAGTTTAAAATATAAACTTGACATTTAGTTAAACAGCCTAGTTTTGTGATGTGCCACCATTATACACTTATTGATTGTTGATCATATCAACTATGCTAAATAGTAATATTAATAATGTATTAATTTTTTCATAAACATTCACTATTTCAGTCTTTATACTTTAAATGTCTATGTCATTTAAATATTTCTACATTATAAAGGAACTCTATTTTAATAATACCTATAATGAACAATTAAAATACACCCACAGATATTTAAGAAAACTCTCAACAGTGGTTATATTTCTACGAGAGAGCAACATATCACATCTGTGTTACATTTCTACCTACTTCCATTTTCTCAGTAATAATGAATGTCAATAATTTCTTGTTTGCTTTAATCATCAGGTATGTAAAGTCATCAGTAACTCTCAGATGGTGTGCCCCTCACCATCTCTTAGTAGGGATGCAGTCCGAGCTCTTTTGACTAATAGTAAAAGGAACACAGGAATGCATTTGGAAGCACTAAAGTTTCAGATTGGTTTTGTTATGGATGATGTTACCAGTGTACGTGAGCTTCAGACAAACTTTCCAACTCTTCACTCAGACATGGTCTATGTTCCAGATCCAAGATTTTTTCCATTTGATGGTAATGGAATCAAGTTATATAAAGGAGAATCCTTAGTGATTGAGGTAAAGTGTGACGTTTCAATATCTTTTTGATAATTAAGCAGTATCATCCTAAATGTTTTCTTTATTGCTTATTTTTGTATCCATATTTTATTTCTTCTTTTTTGTTATAATAGGTATTTGATTTTTAATTCACTCTAAGGAGAAGGTATCAGTTGTTTTTATGCCTGTTCAAATACAATTGTCCAATGATTTGAATCAAATTAAGTTATTTAGCTATACCTGTTATAATCTTCTAAGCTACTTGATTGCTTTAAGTGAACTTTAGACAAAGAAGTATTCTTGGAATTTCTAGGGAGAACATCTTCATCGAGCCAGTACTGAATCTGAGGTCAGTGTGACTATTGGTACTCGACCATGTAACTTAACCTCACTGGCAATGACCCAGCTGGTGTGTTTACCACCCGAGGACCAACCACAAGGAACAGATGAACTTGGAAGATCAACTGCCACAGCACTTCCCATGGTTGTGGTGAGCAAAGATATTTGTTGTCTTGTACTTTTTCAAGTTAATATTATCACCAAATACTCTAGACTTTCAGTGATTAGGCTTATATAAGCTTCAAACAGAAATTGTTTAAAATCTATCTGGATCACTCTTTGACTTTATATCTTTATTTTGTATTATCAGGATATTTAATTTTTGTGAAATTGTACAAATGAAACATAATAACTGCTAATTGTTTCTAATCAAGCAAGTTTACATACTTTTCTTTCCACTTTAATGAAATTGATTTTTTTTTCAACTTACTAGTCCAGTTAGATATACGAGGGGACACCTGCAAAACATTTCTCTCAAATGTATTATCATCATAAAAATTTGAACTTACAAAAAAAGGTTTACTCTTGTCATTAATCATTTTTGAATCTCTATTTTACCTGAAGCTAAATTAAGCTCAGCTTGTTACTTTTGTGAAAAAGCAACATTTAAAATTTTTGAAAACTTGGCAATTTATAAAACAGACTTAATAATAAATAATTAAAAGTTACTTTCAGCATTAATAAAAAGTGTAAATCTGTTTCAATATAGTACATTTTAAGCTTGATACATTATTTTCCTTCCTGTTTTTCTAATTTATTTTTCAAATAACAATTTATAAACAAAATATTACAGGTACGGGTGGGTCTGAACCTTCGTTATGAAATTGGCTACCTTCGTTATGAGGTGATGAAAACCTATAAATTTCCACCTGAGGCCATTTGGGGAATAGCTACTGGTGGAGCACTTCTAATGCTTCTTAGTTTTGTCATTTTGGCTGTATTAAGGCACAAAAGCTCTCAGGCAGAGCGAGAATATAAGAGGATTCAACTTCAAATGGACACACTAGAGAATAGTGTAAGATCAGAATGTAAACAAGGTAAGTGATATTGGTGATTTGTAATTTTCTGAGTTATGTTTTTAATTAAAGAAAAAGGGATTCTATGACAAATAATAATAATACGTAAATCATGCATAATAAATAAGTTATGTTTTATGACTACTATTCATCTTGATATTACACTTTATAGACCCATAATCAATATTGTTCTATAGTTTAAAGAACTAAAACCTCAAATGTGCGTTGGAAGTCATTAGGAATTGCACTTGTGTCAGCCTTATACATTATTAGAGCCATGTTCAGACTACAGTTAAATAAATGATATGACTAGAGTTTTCGAAAGCAATTTATATATGAAAAGTGACCTGTTGGGAAAGAAATCCATTATAATTTAAACCAGTTTGCTTGATGGTTCCATATCCATTTTGATAAACAACCATTGCCTGTGAATACTTTTATCACAGTAACATCTGTTTGAGATAAAGGAACCACATGGAACTATGAAGAGATTGACAAATTGCTGTTTTGTAGCTTACTGCTAAATTCAGTAATATGTATAACATTTTTAACTTCGGAACCCTTCCTTCGCAATTGAAGTTCACAATTCATAACATAACATAATATTTTGGGACAACATGGTACCTATTGGTCCATCTTGGCTGTTCCATCCTCAAAACTAAGTTAAAATGATTTAAAAAAATAATAATCAAATAATTTTAAACCCAGCCCTTTTCATTTATATAATTATCAAGCTTTTTCTAAAATTCACTTAAATTTACTGCCTCTACAACATCTGAAGGCAACCCATTCCAGAGGCCAACCACTCTGTTAGAAGAATAAAACTGTATTAGCTGAAGATGACTCCTACCTTGCCAAAATTTATATTTGTGTCTCCTAGTCCTACTATTCTCATTGTTAAATAAAAAAAAAAGATGATACGTCAACACTATCAATTACCTTTACAATCTTAAACACCTCAATCAGATCCTCCTAACTCTTCTTTTTTCAAGAGAAAACAATTTGAGAGATTTCAGCCTCTCATCATATGACAACCCCTCCATTCCAGGCATCATTCTAGTAACCATTCTCTGAATTCATTCAAACAATTCAATGTCCTTCCTAAGATAAGGAGCCTAAGACTG